GGCAAACAGTTTTCCGTCGCGGCGCGGCAGAGGCACTCTGCTCGCGCGCTCTGGTAGCTGGGGCAGAGCATAGCAATTGTCCGGCAGCAGGAGGAAGAGACAGCGCGGAATTCGGCCGCGGAGAGGGGGCAAGGAAAAGGGCACTCATGGCACGAAAAACTTCGGCGTGAGCGGGCGGTGCGGCCAGCCGCTGCTGGGGCGTCCTGGCAGTGGACGTGGGGCGGCATCGCGCCCACACTCAGGGGCTGTGGCAAAGGCTGCAGGCGCTGCAGGCTTACAACAAGTTGACCAGGGCGGGGGACGAGGCGAGCGCAGGATGAAGGCACCCGAGTGTTCGTCAAGAGGGCCATGCTGCCAGGTGTTCCAGTGCACAGGAGGGGTTCGTAGCATGACGTGCGGAAGCCGTGCTTCGACTGCTGGCGCCCGAGCTCGCGCGCCCCGCCGTCCGCACAAAGAGTGATCGATGGCTCCGAACCCAGTCGCACGAATCTCGGGCGACCCTTGGTATGCGTAGTACCCGCTCTCAGGGATGGGGCCCCGAGCAGCCCCCGAGCTTCTTCTCATCAGGCGCGTGCGCGCCGCCGCGGCGGACCTGATCTGTGCCGCGGGCAGTGCAGGGGCGGCTGAGGCGCGGCGGCGGCGTCGTCGTCGTCGCCTCTGCCTCCGCGGCCGCCGCCGCTCCCAGGCATCCTACGCTTCGAGAAAACCCGGGCGGAAGGAAGTCTTGGCCGTGTTCGGCCCCCACCACGGGGCACTCTCGGGCCCCAGGGCCGTCAGAAACGATTTGTGACGGAAAGCCAGCCCTCGAGAACGGGTCGGGATTTCAGGGGGATTCGTCTTGGGACAAATCAAGACATCGGATGTTTGTAGCCGCAGTCTTCGTCGTGCAGATGTTTTCCGTTGTGGACCGGCGCGTTCATTCCCAACCCTCCTGTGTTGGAATCTCGTTTTGAATAGAGAATTGTGCTCTCCAACTTTCTTCCTCCCCTCCTTCCTGTCTCCTGCCTCCTACTTTCTGCCTCCTGTCTCCTCTTCCTTCTCTTCCTCCTCCCTTCTGTCTCTCGTTCTGCTTGCGTTGCAGCCCGGACGCTGGCCGAAGCGCTGAGGTCAGGAGTTCTTGGGGCCCCTGAGGACAGCCAGCGCGTCCAATTCGGCTTCCAGAGCGGCTTTGCGTGTCGAGAGCAGGTCTTGGGCTCGTGGAAGCCGACCTTGCCTGGGTTCGAGACCGAGGCGAGGCCTTGACCGGTCCGAGCGCGTCCCTTGAAGAGGAGACGGACTCGGACGCGTACTATTTTGTCTGATCTTGGATCCCTGGCTTGAGGCCTGTCGTTGTGACTTTGTTTCTCTCGTGTCCTCCTGCGGGGGGGGGGCCTCGCTGTTCCCCGCTTGGGGGCTGCGAAGTGTGAAGCTGTCGCCACTTTCGTGGGCTCCTGGGAGGTCCAGCGGAGTGGAGTTGTGAACATACCCAGTCGAGACCTCGCGGCTCCCTGGGGAGCTGCGAACTGCGCCAGTGTCGCCACTTTCGTGGGCTCCTGGGAGACCCTGCGGAGTGGAGTTGTAAACGCACCCAGCCGAGGCCTCGCGGCTCCCTTGGAGGCTGCGAAGTGCGCAATTGTCGTCACTTTCGTGGGTTCCTGCGGGTCCTTCAACATGTTCGTTTGTATTGATCGGTCCTGTGTATCGCCGCCACATGTGTAGAAAGGGTTGGGTACGTGGTACGTCGCAAGGATTTTTTTTGGTACGACTTTCATTTCGGTATCTTCGGGGCCAGGATGGAGGGAGAAGGCTGTGGAGGGAGACGAGGAGGAGGAGGCGGAGGAGGAGGCGGAGGAGGAGGAGGAGGAGCAAGAGGAGGGGGACCGTAATGGAGGACGGATTGAAGGGTAGGGATGCGTAAGCAGGAGGAGAAGGAGGAGGAAGAGGTGGAGGAGTAGGAGGAGGAGGAGGAGGAAGACGACGAGGAGGAGGAGGAGGAGTAGGATAATTGCAGTGTAGCGCTAATGCTCTTGAGGGTAGGCATAACCCTGTGGAGGTGCTCGTGAAGTTTGAAAGACAAACCTTCTGGTCCCTGAGCCTGTGCAGGGACGGTTGTTGGCACCAGGGGGAGGAGGATGAAGAGGAGGAGGAAGAGGAGGAGGATGAGGAGGAGAAGGAGGCAGAAACAGACAACGAAAAATAACAATACTTAAACAGAATAAGAAGAGGAGGAAGAGGAGGATGGGGCGGGGGAGGGGAGGTCCTCGGGGAGTGTACGGGGTCCCAGAGGTCCCAGGGGTGCCCAAGAGCTGGATCATGAGAAGGACCAGGCTGATGACGATGATGCTGATGCCTATGATGATGCTGATAACGATGATGATGGTGATGATGATGCTGATCATGCTGATGCTGATTATGATGCTGGTGCTGATGGTCACGGTGACGATGCTGATGCTGCTGATGACATTGATACTGATGATAATAGTAACAATGGTGATGGTGGTGGTGATGATGCTGATGATGATGGTGGTGATGATGACGATACTGAGGCTCATGCTGCTGACGATGAGGCTGATGCTGATGCCGATGGTGATGATGATGATGATGATGATGATGATGACGCTGATGTTGGTGCTGATGATGCTAGTACCGATAGTGATGGTGGTGGTGATGATGATGCTGATGGTGATGATGATGGTGATGATGATGATGATGGCGATGCTGATGATGCGGATGCTGATGCTGATGCTGATGATGATGGTGCTGATGCTGATGATGATGGCGATGCTGATGATGCGGATGCTGATGCTGATGCTGATGATGATGATACTGATGATGATGATGATGATGATGATGATGATGATGATGATGATGATGACGGCGATGCTGCTGCTGATGATGATGATGATGATGATGATGATGATGATGCTGATGATGATGATGATGATGATGACGATGACGATGATGATTATGCTGCTGTTTATGCTTATGCTGATGATGCTGATGATGCTGATGGTCATGATGGTAATGCTGGTAATGCTGGTGATGGTGGTGGTGATGCTGCTGCTGATGATGATGAGGATGAGGATGATGCTGCTGTTGCTGATGGTGATGATGCTGATGATGCTGGTGATGATGGTGCTGATTTTGCACAGGATGATGCTGATGCTGCCGATGATGATGGTTCTGATGATGATACTGACGACGCCGACGACGATGATGACGATGGTGATGATGGTGACGATGGTGCTGATGCTGTTGACGATGATGATGATGCTGATGACGTCGATGATGATGGTAACGCAGGTGCTGGTGATTGCGATTGGATGCTGATGATGAGGGTGATGATGACGTCGATGATGATAATGATGATGTCGATGCCGATGCGCTGCTGCTGCTGATGATGATGTTCATAACGACGATGTTGATGGTGATGGGTACGATATTGGTGACGATGATGCTGATGCTGATTGTGATGAGAATGAGGATGATGATGAGGATGCTGATGCTGATGCTGATGAGGATGATGATATGGATGAGGATGATGATGATGACGAGGACGATGATGAGTATTAGCACGATGATGAGGACGAGGATGATGATGCTGATGATGATGCTGATGATGATCAGGATGATGCTGATGCTGATGCTGCTCATGCTGGTGATGATGTTGCTGCTGATGATTATGGCGATGAGGATGCTGACGCTGATGCTGATGAGGCTGATGATGCTGATTATGCTGATTGTAATGATGGTAATGATGGTATTGATTGTATTGATGGTGATGGTGGTGGTGATGATGATGGTGATGATGAGGATGATGATGCTGATGCTGCTGATGCTGATGATGATGTTGCTGATGATGATGTTGCTGATGGTGATGATGATGCTGATGCTGCTGGTGATGATGGTGCTGATTCCGCACAATATGATGATGATGATGATGCTGCCGATGATGATGGTTCTGATGATGATGCTGACGACGCCGACGACGACGATGGTGATGGTGACGATGGTGATGATGGTGCTGATGCTGTTGAGGATGATGATGTAGATGATGATGGTAACGGAGGTGCTGGTGATTTTGATCGGGATGCTGATGATGATGATGATGATGATGATGATGATGATGATGATGGTGACGATGCTGATGATGCCGATAATAATGATGATGTCGATGCCGATGCGCTGCTGCTGCTGATGATGATGATGATGCTCATGATGACGATGTGGATGGTGATGGATACGATACTGGTGATGATGATGCTGATGCTGATTATGATGAGGATGAGGATGATGATGATGCTCATGATGATGGTGCTGATGAGGATGATGATAAGGATGAGGATGAGGACGATGATGAGGATTAGGGCGCGGATGAGGACGATGATGATGATGCTGATGATGAAGCTGATGATGACGATGATGATGGTGATATTGATTATGATGATGATGTTGATGATGGAGATGATGCGGATGACAGTGATGTTGATGATGATCTTGATTATGGAGATGGTGCTGATGCTGACGATGCTGCTGCTGATGATAATGCTGATGCTGATGCTGATCATGATGATGGTGATGAGGAGGATGAGGAGGAGGAACAGGAGCAGGACCAGGAGCAGAAGGAGGGCCCACACTTCCTCCCCTCCAGCGGTGCCCCTCTTATTGCCGCAGCCCCACTCGCTTTCTTGATCCTGCCCCAGGTCCCTCCTTTGCGAAAACCCTTCTTCGTCGCACCGGCAGTTGCGTCAATCACGTTGCACACGTGGTATGTTATTACCACGGTAGTGGAGTAGTTGCGGGGGATATTGCAGCAGCTTGGTTAAAGAACCCACGGTACCCGTGGTATCGCCAGGGTGTTTGTTCACTTCCAGGGGATATAGCATTCCCTGGAGGGCGAATTCTGAGCTTGCATGGTGCATTGGCCCAGCGGTGGATTTGTCAAAAGAGGGTTGGCAATCACATGCATCGCCAGCCACTCAAAATGACAAGCTGTTGAATGCAACACTGTACGAATTAGGCTTGCTTATGGTGAAGGAGCATCCCGTCGTAAACACAGACGCGAATGACAGGATAACAGTTTGACCTTCTCCCTTTTTTATCGTGCTGCGTCTTTTCTTATTGCTATTTCCTGTCCTTCCCTTGTCCCTCTTGCTCTGTTGCTGCGTCGCCTCTTCTCAGGTTGTGCAGCTGGGCAAGATGCTCAACGACCCCAGCCCAGGAGCCCGAGGGGCAGAGAGGGTAAAAAGGGTTTGAGCAGGAGGGCCCGGATGAGGGGACGACGAATGGAGAGGACCAGCAGGATGAGGAGGGGAAAGAGGAGGAGATGGAGAAGGAACTCCGTAACGATTAATGAATTCCCCGGGTTAGGTTAGGCAACACTTTTCGTTCACAGGTGCCTCACAGAAGGCTGCCCGCCACAGGTGGCCCTTTCCTTACATGCGGTTCCTATTTCTCGCGTGTGCATGCCATATGCCATGGGGTTGTCGAGCTTGTGGAAGGCAGGTACAACAAAGGTGTAGTGCTTGCTTTTGCGGGTTCTCATGGCGCACCCGTGGAGCAGCGGCGAAAGCCCGGCCAGCGGACAAGAGGGTCAAGCGTCAGCCATCTCAACCGAGACGGCGGCATCGTTCATAATCAAAACGTCCCAGGCAACCCTACGTGGCGAAGGCACAGCCCGCCGCATCAGCGCCAATCGGTGCGTCGGCAGTGCATTCGCCGGTAGACAAGACCGCAGCCATACATCCAGCCACCTCCATTGCACACTCCCACTTGGAGATGATTCCCAAGGGGGGCACGCCATGCAGAGAATTTCAAGCTGGACGCCAACACGCGACCATGAACATAGGCTTGTGATGGAAGACGCCCCAGAGAGGGTAGGTTCAAGTTGAAATCGTTGAATTATGCAAAATATACGATACAATGATGAACAAATGCGAATTCATCAAATCATACGCTTGTACAACATTGCCAACGCATGTTTGAACATGTGCGAAGGCAGATATTGTTCTGCCCGCGCGACCGCCGCATGAATGCGAGGGGGTAAGACCTCCTTCGGAACCTCAGCTGCAAACTCCTTCGCGAGTGATGGTCAGCCGCGGAAGCGAGCTGCCGTTTTGTAGGTTCGCTAGCACAAATAAATTGTTTCGACTGATCGAAAAGGAGCTGCGCGAGTCCGACGCGAGCGAGGTAGCAGCGCCCACGTCGTTGATGCAATGTATGCCCACTGGCTGCGAGGAATTGCTTTCCTCCTTGAATTGCTAGACCCGGTAGAAGGCATGCACAGCCGCTGCTCACCAACTCGCTCGCCCATCGACGTGCAGGGCCCTGCAGGATCCATGCGCGCTTTGAAGTCGTTCCCGATGCAATTGTGGCATTCTCCATGCGATGCCTTTATCACCCTTGGCCGTTTAGGGACAACGCTTGCGTTTCGATTATAGTGCCTGCAGTCGACCTGGCGTCGTCTTGGGTTCGCAGTATCATGCTTGGCCTTGCACATGCGGCCAACGCTCTCGCAGTTGGCGATGGGCCTTCGACGTCACCCCCGCGCCCAGCAGGCGTTCGCCTGGGCACGTTACGCACGAACTAGGTGCGCGCTCGTGTTGGGAATTACAGAACCCCATCCATCCATATTGGAATCGGCAACGCCGCACGTTGCCCTGCGCGGTCGGGGGCCTGGTTCCTCTGTTTGCGTGGCCAGCGCGTTCCCTCTTAACGTGAGTCCTTCAATCACGCGTTCTGCGCCCTTGCCCTCAAGCGCCTGGCCACGCTCTAAGTGGGGATTTGGGGGCGTGGTAGGGTCGCGCGGGGTGGGGAGGTGGTCAGGTGGGTGGATGGGGCGCGAGTGGTGCGCGTGATTCACTCGGGATGGCGTGCGTCTGTGGGTGGCGGGGGGATGGTTGTGGCAGCCCTCGGGGGGCTCGCGTGGTGGTGGTGGTGGTGGTGGTGGTGGTGGTGAGTGGTAGTGCTGTTGTTATGCGTGGCGGTTGCGGTCATGCGCGCTTGCGCGTGCGTGCGCGCGTGGGATAGCGTAGCGCGTGCTTGTATGGGGTCGGGGGCATGTTTTCTTGGGGGGTGGGAAGTCTGCGGGATGGACAGGGGGGTTGGCCTGGGCGGGCGCGTGGCCGGGCCAGTTTGTTGCGGTAGCGGTGGGCGCGGGGGGGAGGGGGCGACCGGCGGTGGCCATTCTGCGGCGCGCCTGTTTCTTCGGTGCGCGATTAAACGTGCGGCCGCTGGGGCGGGGGCGCTGATTTGGGGCTGTTGAGCGAAGTTTCAGTGCCCCCTCCCCCCCCCTCGCTGTCAAGGAGGGGGGGGGGGGGGATGGCGCGGGGAATCGGCAGCCAACGCAGCATGCTCACGGTGGTCTTGGTTGGCTAGCACGAGCCAGGGCCTGGCAATTGTGCTCGCGCGCGCAGAAGCCAGGGCTGGGGGCGTTCTTGATTGCGCCCAAGATTCCCAAGGGGAACGCCCAACTCCCTCCCGCGCCCCCCCGCTAGAGAGCAGTCGGGCTTCCTGGCGTTTGGGTGTTTGGCGCTCCTGATCCACTTGTCTCCATGGCGATCCTGCTAGGGCGTCGGCCCTCAGATGGGGGGGCGCGCCGTCAGGGCTGCCGCGGGGGCAAAGGGCGACTGGGGGCGCCTCGCCGCGGTTCGCTCGTCAGCTTGTGTAAGATTGATTGAATTATTGTGGAACTCGTCGCCTCGCCGTCGCCCGTGGCCCGGAAACCTGTTGTCCAGGTCTTGTGATTCAGCTCGAGCAGGCGAGGGCGTGACAGGTCATGTAATGCGTCAGGTATTCGAATGCAGCTTGGCTTATGCACGCGTTCCGAGGCTGTTTTTTTCGCGTCGATGTGGTTCGTCATCGCTCCGTGCCCCTCCGTCCGCGACCGTTGTGGATCAAGCCGGGCGTCGTGTTCGGCGCTCTCGACCCCAGTGTCCAAGTCAATCCTCGCGCTGTGGCGCACTCCATATTCATCGGCGGTTCGCCGCCCCCATATCTTTCGCAGTGGATTGGATGAGGTGGCTGTTGCTGCCGCTACTCGTCTCGGGTGCGACGCGTGGCATGCTCGGCCGCGCAGGCGCGCCTGGGCGACGAGGAAGTCCTGGGGCCACAAGTCGGATGGCATCTGCTCGCAGAAAGAGGTTCGGATACGTTCTTGGGGCACAGCGTCGGCATTCTCTCAAGGTCAGAGGGCTACATGGGGTCCTCGAAGCATGCCAGGATTCGAATGTCCTGGTCTTGTCGCGCGTCTTTCGGCGATGCTGACGGTGACGGTCCCGATCCCGACCTGGATTCAGCTCTCGTTGAGGCGCCGGGCGATGGGCATCATGCCGATGACGGTCTCATTGATTATGGCGGCGGCCTTTGGGCTCTCAACGCCAGAGCCGGCAGACGCAGATCTCGATCGCGATGGCGACATCAGCGCTGGTATCGATCGTGTTGCTCACGATGGCGTTGCCAGCCTTCCAGTTGCACATGCGGATTTCCGTGCAGATGAGCTTGCGGTGGTTTCTGCAGGACCAGTTGACAATCTTACACATCAGATCGGTGTGGGTTTTGGTGCGACTCGCGGCCCTAGAAAACTCGTCGGTGACTTTTGCTGTTCAGGGAGATGATGTTTTATGGGGAACAGTTTATTATGAGCGCAGTTTCGCTCGCCAATAGGATGGGCGCGGATCGGCGTCCGCCTACAGTTCGACGCATCCGCGTGGCAGCCGCTGGCCTCGCATTGAAAACATGCATGAACAAGTCACTTCTCGAACATATGGTAACATCTGCGACTCGAGATGGTGGTCAGCCCGTGCGTCTTGTGAAGCAGGTTCGTTGCGACGAGACCCCGGCGATAATCGTCGTCATGGATTCCAGCGAGTCATCTAATTCAGGAACACGCGTCGACGCTGCTGCGGCTTGCTCCGGCATCCCGAAGCTCTTGGCTGATTTCTTGAAGATGGAATCGTACGAGTCGGTGCCTGCGAAATTTATCCAGTCCGAGTGGCGGTTTTCAGCTGTCTTCCACATGCCTTATTGAGAGCATGTGTTGGCGAAGTCGATGCCTTCGCCCCAGCGCAGGCTTTGGCGTCGACGTCGGCAGAATATTTTGCGGAGGCGCTTTCCCGAAAGGAGCCTGACTTGGGCCAGTGCGAGAAGTTGTATCATTGCCGTCGGCCGAGTCCGCTAGCGTGCCAGCGTGAATGGAACCTTTGTTCGGGTGTTTCTGGCATGTCGCCTGGGGGCCTCTCGAGGTGCTTCTGGCGCTAGATGTGGTGCCTCGTGGAACTGTTTTGGGATTCGGGATTTCTTCGGTTATGTTAAGGTCTTCCTGAGGGTTTTAAGGGCGTCTGGGGACCTCCTGGGATCTCGCTGGGCCTCTTGAGGTTTCTCAGCGCGGGGTGGTGGTGGTGGTGGTGGTGGTGGTGGTGGTGGTGTTGGTGGTGGTGTGGTAGTGGGTGGTGGTCGGTGGTGGTGGTGGTGGTGGTGGTGGTGGTGGTGGTGGTGGTGGTGGTGGTGGTGGTGTGTGTGTGTGTGTGTGTGTGTGTGTGTGTGCGTGTGTGTGTGCGTGTGTGTGTGTGCGTGTGGGGTGTGTGTGTGTGGGGGGGGGGGGGGGGGGGGGGGCTCGGGGGAAGGGGCTCTGAGGGCGAGTAGTTTCGCGCGCTCCCCTCTTGAACCAAACGCTGTTTCAAGGTTGGTTGAGGGCTTTTGGGCGTCTGGGCATCCATTCGGGGGGCAGCGATGGGATGCGGCGTGCTCCCGTGGGCTTTCTGGGGCTCCTGGGGGGTTCCTGGGGCTCCTGCTGGGCGAACCCTTGGCCTGGGAAGGGGGGGTCCGCGCCGAAGGGCGCGGCTGCAGATTTCAGAGGATCCTTCGATTAGCTTGTGCAGATGGTGATTCTGCCGCTGGAAAATCTGAAGAGTGCACTGCCATTCGGAATGGATGCCCTGCGTTGCTTACCGCGTGTCACTCGCACAGGTGGGCGAATGGCCGTGAGAACGCTGCTAAATTTCAGGATGCTGATATTTCTGCCATCGCCAACTGGAGCCTTGCTCTCAACCAGCCTGGTGCGATGAGGGTCTGTCGACAGGTCGTGCGAGACATCGTTGATGAACGTATGCGTAGTATGGATGGTCTGCCTCCTTCTTGGCATCGTGTGCACCAGCGTGCTGTCATTGAATGTTTCCGCGGTGGTAAGCACTGCCTCGGGCGCAGGGCAGTCATTTCGTTTCTTG